CAAATGTTTCCAACAATGTTTAAACTCTGTAATTATATTAAAGTAAAGGTGCATTTCACCAGTTGCCTGTCAGTGGCGTCATATTCCCTTTACACATGCATCAGCGTTGTGGTTGTCTGTCTGAGCTGTCATAAATTTACTTTTTGTCCAGTTTTAAGCCATATCTTTACGATTCACTTGTTAGATCTTTTGTATTTAACTATATATTTGAACTAAATGAAGGATTTTAGACATTGGATCTCTGGATCTTATCAGAGAAACAAACTGTTAGCAGCATCTCCTCCAGGACGTCCTTTGTTACCAGACAGCGTTGGTGAAACACTGATTTTTAAGGTGAAACTGCTTTATTCTGGTATTAATCACCGGGTCCATTTGTTTTGGAGAGGAGGAGACCTTTGCTGATGATTCATTCCTGGTAAAAAAAACCAAAACCTCTTAAACGAAGAACACAGAAGGAATCCTACACTGTAAAATCTGATGAGTTAGTTCAACTTAAGTTGTTTGAGGAAACCAATTGCCTTAAAATGTTTAAATGTATTGCCTCCAACAATTTAAACATGAAAATATTTTTATATTTCTTGCAACAAGACTTGCAACTGAGTATTTTTACAGTGTGGAATTGCTACTTTTACATCAGTAAATGATCTGAATACTTCCTACACCATTGAGGTTTTAGCCAAAACTTTATGACATAAAATTGTTCCTAATTCTCTCAGTGTGGATGTAGATTGTTTCGGTGTTTTTAATGTTGAAAGTGATGCAGATACAAACTCACAAAAGTCTTCGTCTGACATGCCTGGAGGGTTCGTTAAGCTGGACTCTAGCCAGACATCATACTGCTGTAAGGGTCTTCACATGTGGAACAGGAAAAAAAAGACAAGCTGAGAGGGAATTTTGCATGATGAAACTTAGACGCGCCAAGATGAAAAGAGGGCACATTAATTAGATTATCACATCTCCAAAGATGCCTTTTAAGATCATGACTTTGTTCCGCTCATCTTGCACTCGCACACACACACACACACACACACACACACACACACACACAGGACACACACAATGATCCTGTTTGAATAAAACATCCGGGAATTATTCTCAATTCTTTAACAGATTGACCAACAGGGGGTGCTACAGCATTTGTTTACTTACTAGTTGGTCCACTTTGACTATTTAACTGCTCATGATATTGAATTATGAGGCATCAAGTGAAACATACTGTCTTTTCTCAAAGGTCACACAATATATATATATATATATATATATATATATATATATATATATATATATATATATATATATATATTAATAAGACTGCACATTCCTTAAGATCCTGTTGTTCATTCTACAACTCAGTTTCCAAACTGTTTTTATATAAAGAACTATCCAAACTAAATTACACCACTGACCCCTTTTAAAAAAAAAAAAAAAAGATGTCACAATCTTGACCTCCAGAGTAAAATTAAACTACTTCTCAGATTTTGTGCTTGCCCCTAGGAATCCTTTAAGGACTCCAACATGTCCCTGGCAATATTCTGAGAAGTACTGTACTATATCACTTCAATTATCTCTGTAAGTAAAAAAATTGTTTCGGGCTCTAAGAGGTGAAAGGCAGTAAGTGCTATATCTCTGCAGCTTGCATTAAGGCCCAGGATATGACATGGAAGGACAAAGAATGTTATGTTTAAGAGAAACACTCCCCCACACCCTTTTACTCCAGTGTTTGGCCATTTATCAGGAGAGAGGAGGGGAGAAAGGGGGAGATAATGTACGCATGCTGGGCAGGGCAAATACCACATACTAATATGCATTTAACATGCTCAGAACAGCTTAAAGGCTTGATTTTCATATTAAATGAGGTCAGCTGTTTGTCTGAGAGAGATGATGTGACACAGAAAGACATGTGGAACATCAACTCATGCCAGGAGATATGTATAAAGCAAATTTTATGCACAATCATGACTAATTCGATCAATCAAAAGGAAACCAAACATTGTGCTACAACAAAGTGGTGACTAGACGAAAGTCTGACAATGTCTGACAATTTACATTGCTCTGTTTTATTCTTTTTGTATCTTTATCAGCTCTGTTTTTTGTGCTACAACCCTTGATTTCCCCTTGAGGGTCAATGAAGCCTTGTCTTATTTAGATTGATATTGTAAATAATAAACTTGCTGGGAAAGGATGAACTATTAACATTCTTAAAATAATCACCAAATAGTGTCATTCTGTACGACTGATGAGAAAAATCCTTGTTAGAAAGAGACACATTTTCTGAATGCTTAATCTCTTATACAGTCATGTATCATTTATTACTACTTTCATGCTCTCAAATCTCTGAAAATAGTTATCTTCTTGTCTCAGCAGTCTGAACATGAAATTGCTTTTGAAGTGTTACAGGCTTGTGTAATGAGCAAATCATATGTGCCACTATAACAAAAAGAGGAGGACAAAGGTCTGTGTGTATCTGAGCTCCTTCATCTGTGAACACAGTGTTGCCTTCTTGCCACACTGACGGATAGACCGGGGGCTCAAGGTTGTAATTCCCATATGAAATCAAGTCACTAAACCTGCTGGCCCTGATAGACAGCAGCCATCTATAAAAACAATCCCCAAGCAGATCTGCAGGTGTGCTGGTCCTGGCCACCGGGGTCAGCTCCGGGTAACTTCAATGACAGGAAGAAAACGATCCATTACGACTCCTCCACCTCCTCCATCAAAAAGCAATATCTTTACACGAGATGAGAACATAAAGGGTGCTGTAATTACAGCCTCAGGCTCAGGTCCCCACTGCCATGGGATAAACAGTACATGGCGTGTGCCTCTGACTCTGTGAACTATATGCTCACACACAAACACACACACATACACACATACACACACAGTGGCATTTTCACATTTAAAAACCTACAGCAGATTCTTCATTGTGTCATTTGTGTTCAACACTATCATGTTTCAGTTTGATGCTGTAATGCAAAGTGTGTTAAGTCAGACCCTTGTATGATACTGTGGTATCTGAAGGGTTAAAAGGTCATATGACACTAAAATATGCCGGGTCCCCTCGAACCCTTTGACCTTTCCCTTTTTGCATAAACATTTCAGCAGAGCTGTATTAGAACCAGATGTTCTTCCCTACTTTTCTCACTAACAACAGACCTATAAAAGTCTAGGTTCGACGCAGATAGACAGAGTTGTTCATGTGGCTGGATGCTCTCCAAGCTCTCGAGTGCTTGTTTTGATGCTGGACTTTTTTGTAATAAACCTTTATATACAATCAAGACGGTGTCAGCGGACTTCTCTTCAATACATCTTCACATCGTCGCTACTTAGTATACAACAATACCCTTGTTTTCTAAGCCTGACCTTTGTGTAACATTTCGCACTTTCAAAATCACCTGTATGGGTTCAGGCGTAGGGACACTGTCTACGTCTAGTTTCAAAACTCTCTCCAACCAGCTCAACTCAACCTTGTTCCTTCTCTTAAGAGGAAGTGTTAACCACATGCTTGTTCATGCAGTAGTATAAAAAAAACACAAAATCACTCTCCTCCGTGACTGTTTGCACTCTGTACGACTGTTTGACCTTCCTTGCCAGGAATGTGAAAGACAATCTGCTTCTCAAGTCTTTTATTTCAGATCTCACCGATTAAAATAAATGCTATTTTCTTGTCTTTGCAGGTCCACTTCCTTTGTTGTTGTACTGTGAATTTTCAGACAAAAATGTCACATGTAGCTCGTTAATGAAACAATTAAAATCATATTTGGGTCATAAAATATAATAATCTCACATTTATAGACTGGTCGCACTGCGCTGATAAAGAGTGTGAAATAAAATGAATTTAAGTCTTTATTGATCACACTGTTTTAGTAAATAGGGAGGGGCCTGCTTCTTTTCACAATAAATATAAAATAAACATTAAAATGGCCATATTGGGCCTATCCTAACATGTTCCATTAATCATTTTATACGAACAGCTGAAAAAGAAGAAAAATGTTTCCAGTTAACAGATTTAGACGTTATGTTTAAATTGTATATTGACTTTACTCAACTTTATTTATATAGCAACTTTTATAGAAACATGCAGCCCAAAGTACTTCACATAACAAACACATAAAAATAAAAATGAACAACATTAAGACTAAAAACTAATACAATAAAAACAAATAAAAAATAAAAGCAGACATAAAATTAAACACCAGGGAGACAAATCATGAAAAACCAATAATTAAAACCTGAAACTGAGGCTATAACATTTCTCCAAAGTAAAAGCCAGATTAAAAAGATTGATCTTTAATTTCCTTTTAAAAAATATTGAGAGAGCTCGAATATCCGGAGGCAGCGAGTTCCACAGTTTAGAGGCATAAAAACAGAAGACACTCTCGCAGGACTTTTATGGGACACATAAGGAGCATTTAAAATAAAAGCAGTGGAGGACCTCGGTGATCTGGCTGGAACATAAAACAAAAAGAAAGTCTCATACGTATAAAGAAGCAAGGTCATTTAAAGCTTTATAAACAAGTAAAATAACTTTGATGTGATCCATTGGACTAGTTTTAGATCAGACTCGGACTGCAGCAACCTGAACTAACTGTGGCTTTCTTGTGGACTTTTTTAGGTAATCCAGTAAAAAGGGAATTAAAGTAATCTAAACGACTGGTAATAAAAGCGTGAGTGAGTATTTCAGCATCCTCCTGACTTTAAACAAGTCTGACTTTGGGCAATATCCCAAAGATGAAAAAAAAACATGTTTATATTTACCTTCTTAAAATGAGAATTAAATATTATTTTTGGTGTTTTAATCCGTTTATTGCAAATATATATATATATAAGAGCTGATAATCATTTTTCCATGTATTCATATCATAAAATAGATAGACAGAAAAAATAAATCAACACATTACTATATAGGAACCTTTTTTCAGCGGAACGTTAGTCGTGTGTCCCGTTTCCCAGAAAGTCGATGGAGGCTTTGTTCCGACACTGTTTTGCGTCCGTGTGGAACC